AATAGATGACAGCCTAGGAAACCCTTTGGGGTAGTTCTCCTCTGTCCTGTAGGGTCACATGAGTAGGAATCAACTTGAAAGCATGTATTTCCAGAAGGAGAGGATAAAAAAATGAAATAATGACTAATTAACCACATTTACAAGAATTTACAATTTACCTTGACTCAACAGTTGATGTTACTACACTCACTTCAGCTGCGTTTATTTTTATACATTATTTTTGATGAGGAAGAAAAGAATACTTTAAGTCATTGAATCCAAGTGAAACCTTATCTCTGCTTTTGCACTCCGTATCGCTTACGCTGACCCTCTGACAGCCCCTTTCTAAGCTATGAGAGCCTCGTTCATATCCTCACCCCTGTATCCTGTTCTCCCTCTTCTGAAGGTTTGGGCACAATGCAGGGGAAGCGACACATGACGCTGTGGACTCAGCTGTCAACGTTGGCGTGACCGCCTTTAACGTCAACAACATCGGCATTAAAGCTATGGTGAAGAAAACGGCCAAGCAGACAGGACACACCATCCTAGAGGAGTACAAGATCCTTGACCCTTCTCCGGGAATGGCTGTGGAGGGAGGAGCCGGTGTGGGTGAGGCTGGCCAGGAGGGGGAGCCGCTGGAGGGGGAGCCACAGGGGAAGGAGCTGGAGACGAAGGCAAAGAAGAATGAAAAGTGACAGGTGGACTGGGTGCCACCCACAGCAGAGCCTTACAGAGAAGGGTCTTAACGGCTTTGTACCAATGTGGTTTCTTCACAGAGTAGTACTATTTTTAATATCGTCACCCTTCCAGGGGATCATGTGATACATTTAACAAGATTCTGGATTCTTGCATCTGGACTTGAGATATATATTCAGTTGTATTCTCAGTCACTTTTTTTTCCCTTAAATGTGGCAAAACTATTTTTGCAATCAGAATAACCTAATGATAAGTGTACTTATAAACCTCATTAACCCTCATGATAAGCTATTTTTGTAACTGCTATGTTTTCAGAAATCAAAAGTAGGAATTTATATATATTTACATAAAACTTGATGCTGAGTAACCTTCGTTTTATTTATACTGGAAAGGAATGGCTTAAAATAGCATCTTTTCTTTTGCACTAATTGTGTTTTTGTTTTTAGGGTGCTTAAATACAAAAAACCTGTCAAACTTTTCTGTGTGAGTGAAAGGAACGCTTATAATGTTTAGAAGACCTTTCTGTTAACAGGGCATAGACTAGTCCTGGAAGGTATAAAGTGAGGCTCTGTCAGAGAACTTTGTAGCTTACCTCTTTGTTAGCACATGGGATCAATTTCTTGATTTAGAATGAATACAAATTGATTTTTAAAGGACTTTTAAGACTTTTGGCATTCATCTATCAGTACTTGAGGAAATCATAGGTATATGATTGGTAGGTATTATATAAAATTTCAAAGTGATTTATTAGTTTAATTGGACCAAAAATACACCACAGTATTTTCACAAGTCATTTTACTGTACTCACTTCTCTAGGTTTTTCCAAAAGTCTACAATTTTTGTAAACAAAAACATAAGCTGATTTCAGTTTACTGAATTAAAAAGCCCAGAAATGATCCCAAAGCCAAAGTTGTATTCATGATTAAGGTAAAGCATGTGAAGTGCTGTAGGCTAACCCTGGCGATGGGCATAATCGTGTTCACTGTGGCAGAAGAGGGACCATCCCAGATCTGTGCGCCGTAATAATGGAAACAGTGCCCAGTGACATGGCTCTACTCTCTCCTGTCTAAAGAGTGTACTTGGTGAATAAAACTGCCTCCAGATCACATGGTCTCAGCTGGATTCATGGGCGAAGCCCCTTTCTGAGTAAGGCCAAGGGAAATGTCCTAATTGTTAAAATGGGAATAAAACTGAATTGGTGAACAGTGTCCAGTCCATCCTCATCCTTATGCATAGAGTGAAAATTACTAGGGTCAGCAGATGATTCCCCACAGGCCAAATTCATCTGACTGCCGATTTTTGCATGTAAAACCTCATTGGTGCACAGCCATGCCCATTCTTTTATGTGTTGCTGGTGTCTACTCTTCAGCACAAGCTCAGAAGCTGTGGCCCAAAAGCCTCCGGGTATTTGGTATTTGGCCTCTTCCAGAGCGTTTGTTGGCCCAAGTGCCATCAAGTCAGTTCTGACCCTTATCAACCCTGTCTGTATAGGATTTCCAAGGAGCGGCGGGTAAGCTTGAAGCACCAACCTTGCCATGCAAACTGACTTTGCAGTCCAGCTCATGAAGCCACAGTGCCACACCAGGACTCCCAGGATTAGACAAAGGAAATGGGTTCTTCCCACAGTTTGCTGAGTCACTACTAGATAAGCCTCTTAAAGAAACTGAAAGTGAAGAGGACTTAAAATACTTACTGATGAAGATCAAAGAGCACAGCCTTTGGTATGGATTGCATCTCAATGTCAAGAAAATAAGAATCCTCACCACTGGCTTATCAACAGAAAAGATTGAAGTTGTCAAGGACTTCATTCTTGAATTAACTATCAACACTCATGGAAGCAGCAGTCAAGAAATCAAATGACGTATTGTAATAGACAAATCTGCACAAGACCTTTTTAAAATGTTGAAGAGCAAAGATGTCAGCTTGAGGACTAAGGTGCGCCTGACCCAAGCCACGGTATTTTCAATAATCTCATATGCATGTGAAAGCTGGACAGTGAATAGGATTTGATGCTTTTGAGTTATGATGTTGGAGCAGAATATTGTGCCATGGGCTGCCAAAAGAGCCAACAGATCTGTGTTGGAAGGAGTGAGCCAGAGTGCTCCTCGGAGGGCAGGATGGTCAAACTTTGTCTGTCATACGTCGGGCATATTGTCAGGAGGGACCAGTTGCTGAAGAAGGATATCATGTTTGGTAAGGTGGAGGGTCAGAGAAAAAGAGGAAGACCCCCAGTGAGATGGATTGGCAAAGTGGCAGCATCAGTGGGCTCAAGCGTGGCAACAATTGTGAGGTTGGCCCAGGACCGGGTAGTGTTTCGTTCTTTTGTGCATAGGGTTGCTATGAGTTGGTACCAACTTGACGGCACCTAACAACAATTGCTGTAAGTGAGAAATTATGTATAGCATGTAAGGGGTGAAATATAAAGTCTTCCAAAGTTGGAACTCAAAGTGGATGGAATTCTTCACGAACGTTTTGAAGACCCTTCATATTTTGGCTGATTAAGGGTCTTGGGGTCCTCTAGAGTCAAACTAGCAAAGCATATACATAAATACATAGAAATTGACTTCAAGGAAATGGCTCACACCATTGTGCAAGATGACAAGTTTCAAGTCCATAGGGCAGGAGACAGGCTTGAGGCTTACTCTGGACTGTAGGAATGAGCAAATCCCCCAAACTGCTGTCAGATGGCAGGCTGCCAGCGCTCAGTCTGAAAACTGAAGGTTAGAAGGTAAGTTGGATGCAGGATCAAGAGAGCTAACTTTGCCAGACCATCCATATATATTAGTTCCAGACATACCCCAAAGGAAACCCAACTCACATCAGATCTCAAAATAGAAGATGATTACATAATATCAAACCTTTAGAATCATGGACTGATGCATACCCTGAAATTAGCCATCCCAGTTCACTCTTGTCAACTCAGCACCTTTGCATATCTCCTTAAAACATCCATAATCCCTAAATATAATAATAGAGTCCTATTTGTGCCCAATATAAGTATAACCAGAAACTAGCCCTGTAAGAGGGAAGAAAGTACTGGACTGTGACCCACAAGGTTGGTGGTTCAGACCTACCCATTGGTTTTTGGAAACCCTATACAGGGATATCTATATATATATTTGTGTATCCTGGTGTGACACTGTAGGATCAGCACTGGACTGTGAACCACAAGGTCGGCAATTCAAATCTACAGCTGTTCCTTAGAAGTTATACGGGGCCACTATGAGTTGGAACTGATGGAACAGCTTGTAACAAACCATATCCCAAATCAAATTGTCATTGAATCAGTTGCAGTTCAGTAACCCTTTACAGGATTTCCAAGATTATCACATTCTGTAGAGCAGCTGGTGGATTTGAACTGCCAACCTTGTAGATAGCAGCCCAATGCCTAACCCACAGTGCCATCATGTCTCCACTATATAAAATATGCATATGAATCCAGTCACATGGTTGTAGCTTACACCATCCATACTCTGTCCTTACCAAACAGCTCAGTGGGTTTTGATTCTTCACCTGGGGGATGACCCAACCTTTATTCTTGATGGCTCTGGTCCATTAGAAGTCAGGTCAGAATTGGGTTGCTGTAGTTGTCCATTGACTTGCATTACAGGACATGAGCACCCTCAGGGGTCTCCTCAGGGGTCTCCTGGGTTCCAGCACTCCTCTTTACCTCCTTTATGTAATAGAACTCCAGTTTCCTCTGGGTAGTCAGACCCAGTCATACCAGCTAATTCAGTCATGCCCTTGCATGTTGGTCCATAGGGCCTGAGGATCCCACAGTGGCAGGGGGCATTCTTAACTTTTAGTTCAATGGTATCAGTGTTTGTCTCCTGGTGGCAGCATGCCCCCCTTTGAAACTAAGACCCTAGGCCTGCAGAGCATAGGGTTGTGGGGACTAGAAGCAAAAATTGTGTGAGTCCCGGGGGAAACCCCTTTGCACCTACACACATGAACCCATACAGCGGATACTGGTTCAGAGCACATACAGCTCCCTGGAGAACATCGCTGCAACCCTGTACGTTATGGCCACCTAGCTGATACCATAATTGTGTTTTTGGAAGGCCGTTGCTTATTCTCTCCAGCCAGCAGCTTCAAGATAATGGAAAATATGATCAGATCAGTGAGGAGCAGTAACATCTGTGTATACTAGAGTCAGGTCACATCCCCTTCCAACTGATTGCTCAGATTACAAAGTGGAGGATGATCCCATAATGCCCACAAAACCAGCGAGCAGCATGGCCTACCCAAGCTGCTAATCACATTCCCACAGTACATCAAACCCAGATGTACTCATGGAAAATGTCTATCAGACTTTAAGAACATCCTCACAACTGAATCATCATCCTGTCAGTGTTGTCTCCCGCTTCCTCTTGCCCAGCTCTAACAGGGATAAACTTACTTGGTGGGAGTCACAAAGACTGGGTCAAAGAGCCATGTGAAATAACCCACGGCACTGCAGTTGGCTTTTCAGATTCACAGACAAAATGTGGAGCACAGCTTCCTGGCAGAGTTGTGTTGGCTAGTTCTGTTTAGTTCTTTGAATCTCTACCTATAGAATACAAGGGTAAGCCAACAAATAGTGCAGCTAGGGCTCCAGTATATGCATGTACGGGTGTTTCTAAAGTGGATGGCTACAGATGAAGTCTCTCAGGAACACACTTGTTAAGTTGTTACGTGCCGTAGAATCTATTCCAACCCATAGAGACCCTGGATAGGGTTTCCAAGGAGCAGCTGGTGAGCTTGAACCGCTAACCTTGCAGTTCAAACAGCTTTGCAGTCTGGCACATTAACCCACAGCATTAGGGTGCCTTAAAAGAAAAAAACGAAGGTCCAATCAAACAGTGCTTTCCAAGGGGATCTGCTGGGTCAGATCAGTTAAAGGCAGAGAAATCCACTTAGAAGGTTATGGTGAACGTTTTGGGGGGCATTTTAAAGGGATCGTCTTAATAGATGTTCTCCAAGAACACAGGACACTCATGGGGACTTGTTAACATGAAGCTTTAAGAAAGTGGAAAAGCACATTGATGAGAAAAGTCCAGGCAAGTTGTGCCCATGAGTTTTTCTATCATGATAATGCACCTGCTCATTCTTGGAAAGTAGCAAGGACTACTGGAGGAATTACCTTAGGAAACCTTACTGCATTCATGCTACAGCCATAATCTTGTCTCTTCAGACTTCGTTTTGTTCCCAGAACTCAAAGGCCCTTTAATGGAAACATGATTTGAGTCCCTTGGGGCTGCCAGTGCTGCCTATCAATGTGCTATAAAAAGAATTCTCTGAGGAAGGGTTAGGGAGCTGGAAACAGTGCGTTCAGAAGGGGAGAAGCCGGAGGGGGACCTGCTGAGAAACACTGTGTTCAGAAGGGGAGAAGCCGGTGAGGGACCTGCTGAGAAACAGTGCGTTCAGAATGGGAGAAGCCGATGGGGGACCTACTCAGAAACAGTGCGTTCAGAACGGGAGAAGCCCATGGGGGACCTGCTGAGAAATAGTGACTTCAAGTGTCTGTGTGTTTCATTCTGATATTTTTATTTAATAAAGGTTTCTATGACTTGTAGCAGTACTTTTTGACTTGTGTGCATGTTGTTAAGTACTGTCAAGTTATTTCTGACTCAGCAACCACCTATAGGGTTTCTGAGAAGTGACTGGTGGGTTTGAACCTCCTACCTTGTGGTTAGCAGTCCAGTGCATCTCCTACAGCACCACACCAGGACTCATGTATGAAAAAGCAATTCTCGATGTGCCCTGCTGCCAATGCTATTTACTTTGTCCCTAGAGACTTTCCATCCTGATTCTGTATTGGGAAACTTTCTGGGAGCTCCTCTAAGCAAGTATGGATGCCAGCTGAAAGGCAAGTGTGTTTTCAATGATGCAAAGTTCCCTGAGATATGAGGTGGGGTCCCAGCATCTGCTTATTGATGCTCCTAGATCGGAATCACAACGTCTAGAAAGTAGCTGGCTTTAGGAACTGACGGGGTTTTGGTTAGATAGTTGCTTTAAAGACATCTGAGGTCAAGCCACCATCCACATGTGGTTATTTCTGTTACAGAAGCACAAGATAAAGACACTGTACATCGCACCATATAATCCAAGTTTTCACAGCAGTAAAATCCGTGAAGTTTGTAATTATAGAGAGATTGATTTCAAGGAAATGGTTCCTGTAGTTACAGAGGCTGACAAGGTGTAAATCTGTGGGCCAGGCTTCTGACTCACGTGGTTGTAGGGGCTGACGAACCCAAAATGTGCAGGCCAGGCCGCAGCCTGCTGACTCACATCTCAGGAACTATAGTCAGAGGATGAGACAAGTGCAGGATCGAGAGAGAGAGTGAGTGAGATTTGCCAGAGCACCCACATGTATTGGGTGCAGATCACACGCCCAAACACCGACTGCTGATGTCAGATTACAAAATGGAAGACGCTAACCTAGTGTCTGCCAAACTAGTGAGAATCCTGCACTAGCTGAGCTGACACCCAGTTTTAATACAGCTGGCGCCAGGCCTTATATTTTCTCCATGAATTCTGTATTTTATAGGCATGCAGCAACCAAATGAAACATTAACCACATGTGCTTTTTACATTGATTTTTTTTTCCCTTTTTAAGATTTTTCTTCTATAGACATGTATACGACTATACACTTGACAGAACCAACTCGACTGTACACGTAAAAACAAGGGCCATTCTCTGCAGTAGCAGTAATCAAAAGCTAGCCTTTGTCCAGAAGGAGTTCTTTGCTAGACCACATGCACTGATTTGAGGGGCCCCATATTCTCACTTGGGGTCGTGGTGGCTCCATAGGATAAGCACTGGACTTCCATCCACAAGGTTGGTGGTTCGAGCCCACCAGCTACTCTACAGGAGAAGTGAGGCTTTCTGCTCCCACGATGATTTAAACCCTATCCAGGGTCCCTTTGAGTTGGAACCAACTCGACAGCCCTTAACAACAACATCTTCTCACCTGTCTGATTTAAGGTACGGAGACTGAGACGTCTTGATGGTGGAAACAGTGAAGTGCTCAGATACTAAAGGAAAGGTTGCTAGTTCAGCCCCACCAGCGGCTCTGTGGGAGAAAGACCTGGTGATGTGTTCACGGTAAAGCTATCAGCCGTGGAAAGCCTGTGGGGGAGTTTCACTCGGTCACATGGGGGCGCTCTGAGGAGGAACCGATTTAACAACACCGGGTGTGGCCCTGTGGGTTACTCTGCGCTGGTCCTCGAAGTCGGTCGGAACAGCACTCCTGAAACGCTATACAGGGTCGCTGTGGTTCAGTACCGTCTCAACGGCATTGAACGACAACAGCGTAGGTATCTATAGTAAAATATCGTTTTCCTAAAATGGAAGTGACTCTCCTAAAACCCTAGCTAGACATCTTAAGCCCGACAGGCACAGTGGTTAAGAACTTGGCTGTTGGAAAGGTTGGTTTGAATGGGCCCGAGCGTAGCAATGAAATTGTAAGGTTAGCACAGGACTGGGCAGTGTTTCATTTTGTAGTGCGTAGGGTCACTATGAGTTAGTAGGGACTCGGTAGCACCTAACAACCCGAAAGCAACAACAGGGTCGCTACGGGTGGGAATCGACTTGAGGGTAACGGGTTTACTGTGATATGTTTGCTTAAGGAGGCCTGGTGGCACCATGCTTAAACACTAGGCCTTTAACTGAAAGGTCAGCGGTTCCAACCCACCAGACTCTCGGTTGGAAGGATGAGGCTGGCTGCTCCGGTACAGTTCCAACCTTGGAAACCCCGTAGGGCAGTTTCACTGGGTTCTGCATGGTCCTTATGAGTTAGAATCCCAACGACAATGCGTTGGGTTTATGGTGATGCAGTGGTTAAGCACTGGGCTCTAACGGGCAGATCAGTAGCTCGAACCCACCACCTGCTCTGTGGAGACACAGGAAGCTGAGTCTGTATTTCGTCTCAGAAGCTCCCTGGGTGCTTCCACGTGTTCGCTGTGAGTCCGAATGACTCGGCAACTTCAGGTTTGGACTCAGAGGAGCTGATCTAAACGCTGTTCTCCCACGGAGCCACTTGGTGGACTCCAACTGCCCACCTTAAGGTCAGCGTCCAGCACTTAACTACTGCACCACTAGCACTCCTAGTAGTGAGAGGTACATGGGGTACCCACGCCCCAAATCAGTGCCGCTCAGTGTTTCTAGGGCAGCCAAGGTCAACGGGAGCAAAAGCAGAGGGAGTAGGTTTACCCCCACCGACCGTCCACACCAAGGGCCATGATGAAGTCGTGAGGCCCCTTCCGGGATAGTAACTGCTCCTCCCTCAGCCTCCCTCCGCCCCGCTGGAGCGCCTCTGACGTCACAGTCCACCCAGACGTCACGTGGCAGTTCTCCATGGCAACCGCGTGTTTGGCGCTGTGAGTCCTCCCGGCTGCCCGTGGAGACTGAGCTGAGGGGAAGGCTGGGTCCCTCCAGCAACCCACGATGGGTGAGGGGAGACGCGACAGTTTCGAGGGTGTGAGTACCGACCGCCTCAAACTGGAGCTCATGGAGGAGATCCACATGAAGTGAGTGTCAGGTTTAGTCCGCACCCCAAATTTAGTCTGCACACCCCGAGTTCATGCCACACACCAAATTTAGACCACATCCAAATTTAGTCTATACCCCAAATTCAGCCCGCACCCACCACGTTCAGTCCATACTCCAAGTTCATTCCACACCCCAAGTTTATTCTATACCCCGAGTTCGGTACACACACCCTGAATTCAGCGCACACCAAATTTAGAGCACATGGCAAGTTTAGTCCACACACCCTCAGTTCAGTTCATATCCCAAGCTCATTCCACATACCCCTAACTTAGATCATACATACACACACCCATGTTCAGTTCATAGCCTGAATTTACTCCACATTTCTGGATTCAATCCACAACTCCCTGAGTTCAGTCCAGACACCCTGAGTGCAATCTACACTCTCTGAATTCAGCCCACACCAAGTTCACTTCATACCCTGAGTTTAGTCTGCACCCCAAGTTTACTTCACACACCCCGAGTCTAGGTCATACACCCCGAGTTCAATCTGTTTCCTGAGTTCAGTCCACATCCTGAGTTCAATCTGCACCCCAAGTTCAGGCTATATCCTGAGTTCAGTTCAGACCCTAAGTTTAGTCCATACACGCTGAGTTCAGACCCCATCTGCAGTTTACCCCACACACCCCAAGTTCAGTCCCCTAGTTCAGTCTACACGGTTCACACAAACTTGGAGTTCAGTCCAAACCCCAAGATCAGTGCACATACCCTGAGGTCAGTCTACCCTCCAAGTTCATTCCAAGCAGTTTCCTTGAAATCAGTCCACTCACCCTGAGTTCAGACTACACCCCGCCCCCCCCCAGTACAGTCCATGCCCCAAGTTCAGTTCACACAGCCTGAGTTCAGTCTACGTCCCTAGTTCACTCTGCACCCTGTGTTGTCTACACACTCCAAGTTCTGTCCACACTCATACCCCCCAATTCATGTACATATTCCCTCCCCTGAGTTCAGTCGAAGAAAGATGGGGGAAAGATGTGACTGTTTGCTTCCATAAAAACGTTGTTAGATTGTAGTTGTTCAGTGCCGTTGAGTTGGCTTTGCCTCTTAGCGACCCTGTGTACACCAGACCAAAACAAGCCCGTCCCGCTCCATCCTCACAGTTGTTGGTGTTGGATCCCATTGTTGCGGCCCCCTTGTCAGTCCATCTCATTGAGGGTCTTCCTCTCTTTTTCTTACCCTCTGCATTACCAACCGTGATGTCCTTCTCTAGGGACTGGTCTCACCTGATCACATGTCCAAAGTATGTGAGACTAAGTCTGACCATTGTCTCTTCTTAGGAGCATTCTGGGGGTATTTCTTCCAAGACATCGATATCTTCATTCTTTCAGCGGTCTACAGTGTATCCAACATTCTTCACAAAAACCATTATTCAAAAGCATGAGTCTTCACTCCTCCTTAATCCCTTCCAGCTTCACATGCAAGTGCACCGTAGTTCTCAAAGTAACGTTTGGGTTTTGAACACTTTGAAGAAGTCTTTTGCAGCAGATTTGCCCAATACGTTTGATTTCTTGACTTCTACTCCCATGGGCATTATTTGGGAATCCAAGTAAAGTAAAAATCCTTGACAACATCAATCTTTTCTCCTTTATCATTTTGATGTTGCTTTTTGGCCTTGTGAGGATTTTTGTCTTATGTTGAGTTGTAGTCAATACGTTGATCTTCATCAGCAAGTGCTTCTTGAAAAGTCCTGTTGACTTTTCAGTAATCAAGGTTGTGCCATTTGTATATTGTAGGTTGTTATAAGTAAGTCTTCTTCCAATCATAATACTGCGTTCTTCCAATAGCCCAGCTTCTCAGATTACTTGTCAAGCATTTGTTGTTGTAGTTGTTAAGTGCCATCGAATTGGTGCTGACTCATAGCAACCCTACTTAGGGTTTCCAAGGAGTGGTTGGCAGGTTTGAACCGCCAACCTTGTGGTTAGTGCTTACCCTACAACACCACACCAGGCCTCAGAATACAGATGGAATAAATATGGTGAAAGGCTGTATCTTTAATGCACACTCTTCTCGATTTTCAATGATACACTATCTCCTTGTTTTGCTTGAGGACTTCCTGTTGGTCTTTGTACAGGCTCTGAATGAATACACTGAAGGGTTCTGGGATACCCATGTGTCTCAATGTTGTACATCATTTGTTGTGATTCAGACAGTCAATAAAACACATTCTGGGATTCTCTTCTTTCAGCCAAGATCTATCTGACCTCAGCATGATATCCCTCATTCACATTCTGTTCTGAATCTGGCTTGAATTTATGGCAACTTCCTGTCCCTGTACTACTGTAACTGTTTTTGAATTATCTTCAGGAAAAAAATATTTATGTGTGATATTAATAATATTTGACGATTTCTGCATTATGTTGGTTCACCTCTCTTTGGAATGGGCATAAATACGGATCTCTTCCAGTCAGTTGGCCAAGTATCTGTCTTCCAAATTTCATGGTGTAGACAAGTGAATACTTCCAGTGTTCACCCCTTTCTTGAAACATTTCAGTTGGTATTCCATTTGAACCTTGTTTTTCACCCATGCCTTCAGTGCATCTTAGATTGTTTTCCCTTCAATACCATCAGTTCCTGATCAAATGTCATCTCCTGAAATGGCTGAATGTTGACCAGTTCTTTTTGGTACAGTGACTGTATTCCTTCCATCTTCTCTTGATGCTTCCTACATTGTAAAGATTACAACCCTATGAGGCAGTTCTACTCTGTCATATAGAATCACTGTGAATTGGAACTGACTCCATCCACCATACACAAAAACAACAACTTTGCTGGGAGATGAGAAACCAGGTCCCCAGCATCTTCTTTGGGGGTCACATTGGAATGAAAAGTTAAGTCTTTGCATGGGTGCCTTTCTTCCCTGTGGTATCTATCTCGTGCCTATTTGAGACCTGCTGGTGCTGGCCAGTAGACATGCACCTTCCTTGACCTGACTCCTGATTCTCTACCCTACCTTCAGTCAATGACATTTCATAGGAAGCTGGCTCTGAAGTAGTCATCATGCTTTACTATATAGTAGTTTCCTCGTTTTATTTTTAGTTCTATCATCATTAACAAGAAATATTTTTCCTAACAGGGATATAGCGCAGCTCTCCATGCTTGAAATAAAGCACAAGATAACGGAGCTGGAGGCCAGGCTGCATGCTGAGAGCCAAGGTACATTAGTGACTAGGAACCCCACACTCCATCTGGAGCCCTCAGTGTAGGTTGTCCTCATACTAAGCCACTGCAGTGCATTGACATGCGCACACCCCTGAAGAAGTTGTGGGTGTTATTCAGGCTCATTATCATAGAGGCCTTAGATATTTTGGATGGTTCAGGATGTCCAACATGTCTCTGTATGATTACTCTTCTTCCTTACCTCTTCAAAACTTTCACAGTTTACAAAACATCAACACATCATTTTTTAAGTAAATAATAAAGCATCCCAGGATTCCTACTAAACTCAAGTAAAAAACTTCACATATTTACTTATAGATTTGGGGTTTTGGCAATTGTTTGTATTGGAAGGATATCCGTGGGGAAGCTGAATACACTCACACCTCTGTATCTGTAATGTAAGATGACATCATTCACTCCATAATATTTATTTGAGTGTGGCGTATGTCAACGCTTTAAATACAGAGATGGGAGACTTTCCCCTGCCCTTAAGAGGGTCACAGGAGACCTGGTGGCTCTGTGGATCAAGCAGGAGGCTGCTAACCCAAAGGTTGGTGATTCAAACCCACCAGCAGCTCCACAGGAGAAAGATGAGGCGGTCTGCTTCCGTAAAGACGCCAGTCTTCGAAGCCCCAAGGCGCAGCTCCACCCCGTCCTGGAGGGTCACTGTGAGCTGGAATTGACTGGGCTGGCCTGGACTCTGATAGCATTACCCAAGACAGACAATGACTGTGGTGGACACACTTGCTCTTTGGGTAACTCATTTCCACTCCCCCCTACTCCCTCAGGCCTCTACCATCTTTCCCAGTTCTCACTCCTGCCTAATGGTCTGCTGCTCCTCTTTCAGTGACATAAAACCCATCAGGAGAGAGTTTCCATGTTTCCATCAGCATAGCTCCCTGACTACCCCCACGTGTGTACGTCCCTGAGACAAACACCTTGTGCAGTGGGCCCTGTCTGCCTCACCGCCTCACGGACTCCACTCCAGCCAAATCTGTTATATCTAAAAAGCAAAAAACAGCAAGCAAAACACTTCTGTTAACCCCTCATCCTTCAACCTTCACCCCCTTTCTCCACCTACGTACAGTTGTTGTTGTGAAGTGCCGTCGAGTTGGTTCCGACCCATGGTGATCCTGTATAGGGTTTCTAAGGAATGGCTGGTGAGCTTGAACTTCCGACTTTGTGGTTCATATCAACTTTGCAGTCCAGCACATTAATCCACACCAGGCCTACACATTTATAGTAGACATTTTCAAATGCTTTTTTTCTCTTTCCATGTTCTCTCTCTCAGTCTTTCTCTCTTGTCATCTCATGTTCTCTCTCTCAGTCTTTCTCTCTCTCTCTTTATCTTTCAGTTTCCCCTAGATTTTGCCTGTTGACTCTTCTTTAACCTATTCTGGCTTCTAACAGATCAGTTTTGAGGGGAAACCAGCATCAAACCAACATTGATAGCAGACATCTTGCATTGATTTGGGGGCTTTCTTAGACATGAAACCAAATATTCACTTTAACGAAATCCCTGACCAAAATTAATCTTGCCAAAGATATTTTTTCTCACCTAAAGTTGCAAATCCTTACCTGTTGGAAGACGGGCTTGCTGAGTTTTCATTTCAAAATGTTGGCCAGGTGGACAGGCAGGGTACCAGTGGATCACTGTAAAAAGAGGAAGATGTGGTTTAATCAAGCATGATAAGATTAGTCAATGGATGATATTCTATATTTCTCCCTCCTCCTCTCTAGAATAAGCCTTCTTGTACGTAGCTTCTTTAATGAGCTGTCATTTTCTGAGATCAAAACATTCTTCCTATATGCATATAGAATAACTGCTTGGAAAAAATTCTTCTGTTCAAATTTAATTGAGTTTGTCTGAGTTCAACCACATTCCATAGACTCCCCTTGACTTGGAGATGAGAGAGAGAAGAGAAAGTGCTGGTTGGTCTAAAGTCTGGTGAGACCTGGGGACACCTGAGCCCATGGACCAGGACATAGCCACAAGAGGGCTAGGGCTGAAAGTGAAGCATCCAGCTGACATGAAGTGAGGGGAGATGCACAAGAACACCCAAACTTGCAGATAGTACCCATTTGACCTAACCTCAATGACTTGATAATCAGAACTCAACTAGAGGAAGATAAAAAAAAATTTTTTTTGATAAAGCAAATGAGTGTAAATTGCTACAATTTGATGAACTTGACCTATATTTATGGATGTAGTAGCTCAAAATACCAACAAAAAGGGAAGGAGTCTTCACATCAAGTATCAATGCTATTTCCTCTGTTTACAGGGTAGATGGGGCCAGGCAACTTAGATACTGGCTACCTAAAATGAGAAGGATAAAAGCACAAAGTGACTGGCTTACAAGTTTTCAAGAGGGAGTTTAGTTTAAGAGTGTGTGGGTGAAGGTAGAGTCCCCACTGAATAGTTTTCATCTTGTCTAGATGGGTCTGGTGAAGACAGATGGGGATAAGATTCTATAGTGAGTAATTGTTATCATGACTAATTGCGAATGTCACAACTGTAAAGGTAGAAGCTTTATAACAAAAATGGGGGAGTAGTTAATCTTACAGTCCAGAAACAAAGGACCCTAGGACCATCAAGAGAGAAGAGCACAAGTGGAATGCGAGGCCTTATCCAGAGGAGCAGTGACACCAGAGATGGAGGCAAAGATGGGTCATGGAGAGAGGGAGCAGCTTAGGACTCTAGATTCATGGAAAGAGAGGGACTGAATGTTGGCAGCCAGGAGGCAGCTTGCAGAATGTGCCCTTTGGTGGTTTAAATTATTATATATGCTTGAGTGTTTAAAAAAAAAAAAAAAAAAGCTAAAATGAATAGCGAGAAATTCTGTTAACTGATAGTACGTGGAGGGGATTGTAATCATTTTAATGAAACAAAGCATATGATTTGTTGAATGTAAAACTGATGACCTGCCCTGTAAACTTTCACTCAATTCACAGTAAAAACTTCTAAAAAAAGAAGAAAAGAAAGTCCCAAAGACTGCAAGAAAATCAGTGGAACTCATCACTAGTTTCCACAGAGTGTCAGGGTGTAAGATGAACATACAAAAATCAGCTGGATTCCTTTACACTAATAAAGAGAGCTCTGAAAAGGAAAGCAGGAAAACATTTCCAATAGCCTCTCAAAAGATGAAATACTTGCACATAAATCTAACCAGAGAAACAAAAGACCTACACAACAAAAATCACAAAACGTTATATAAGAAACATTATACAAAACATTAAGAGAGACCTGAAGAAATGAAAGAAGATACCCTGCTTGTGGACAGGAAGACTCAACATTGTGAAAATGTCAACACTGCCCAAAGCAATCAATAGGTATAATGCTATCCCAATCCAGATTCCAACATCATTCTTTAAAGAGACAGAAAAACTAATCACTAACTTTATATGGAAAGCAAAGAGACCCAGATAAGCAAAGCTGTATTTAAAAGAAACAGTAGGAGACCTGTCACTTCCCAATCTCAAAGCCTAGTACAGAGCCACAGTAGTCAAAACAGCCAAGTACCGGTGCAATGGCAGACACATCCATCAACAGACTAGAACTGAGAAGCAGGAAGTAGATCAAGCCACCTACTGTCAGTTGATCTTAGATAAAAGGTCAAAATGACTTAAATGAGGGAAGAGATCATCTATTCAACAAATGGTGTTGGCAAAATTACAAATCCATTTGCAGAAGAATGAAACAAGACCCATATCTCACACCATATATAAAAATGACCTCAATGTGGATTAAAGACCTAAATGTAAAACCTACAGAACATCAATGAAAATACAGAGGCAAATTTAGGAGCCCTGATACTTGGCATAAATACACTATCAAACATAAATGAAAACTCATAAATCAAAGACAAAATAGGTGACTGGAACCACTCAAAAAGTAGACACATGCATCTAAGAATCTCACCAAAAGAGTGAAACGAGAACCTACAGACTTGGAAAAAATGTTTGGCAATGACATATCAGAGAACTACTCTCCAAAATTTATACAACACTTCAACACCTCAACAACAAGAAGACAAATAATCCAGTTAAAAAAACGGGCAGATGATATGAACAGACATTTCACCAAAGAAGACATTCATGCACCCAACACCAGGCTTATGATCATTAGCCATTGTTGTTGTCAGGTGCCATCGAGTCAGAACCGACTCATAGCAACC